TTCACGAGCCATCAGGAGTTCTCGTCAGCGAGTCGGCCAGCAATTAATTAACACAAATCTGTAGCTTTGATGTAAACAACCCTCGGCATGAGCCCGCGTTCCTTTTATCAGGCAGTGTTACAAAGTAATATAATCAACGCATGTCTGAGATTTCAGGGGGTTACGGTTTCCATGGGTGAGGTATCTTTCCGTGAGGCCTAAAATTGGGTCGCGGCGCGCGTTGCGTCAAGGGTGAAAATGGGCCTTTAAGTTTTGTGATTACAGTTATACTTCTGTGCTCAATTTTTTTATTATTATTTTAGTAATAAACAAGAATATATACAATTTAACTCTAATTCTATAGTGTGCAATCTTAAATTGCTGGTTAATTAACTTTAAAACTCGTGTTTACGCAGACTAGCTATGCTAGTACTTACACAAACAAGTCCTTACATATTCGTTTTGTTCAAAAAAAAACTTATCAGACTTAAAACAGCGATACAACAACCAAAAGCACCATCTGAGTCTCGAATTCAATCAAAGCGAAAATGATTATAAATGACCTTATATTGCGGGAATCACATGTCTGTTGACAGATATAAGCTGTATCGTGACTCTGTGACTGTAATCAGCTACTGCCATTACCTCAGATTCTGAACCAAGCAATCATTTTTTTACCACCATTGCTGGCATGGTTTTGAAAAACGTTCGAAAACCAGGATGAATCATTTTTAACTACCTAACTTTTTAGCGTCCTCTGAAGATGTACGGTCTAATGCTGAATAATGTTTCTGTTTCTTTTGGATTTCACTCCTTTAGATTTCCTTTTGTTTTCCGTCTTTCTTCTTTTCCCGTTTTTATTTTTGTTAACATTTAAGTATAAAGAATGATTTCAATAAAAAGGGAATTCCTTCAAATCCCCAAAGTGCATGAACGTGTTGCTCGATTTCTAAATCCTCTTAGTTGGTGAAACATATTGTTTCTCATTCAGTCAGTAGCGAGGTAGCGTGACACACGACAAGGTGCCAGATAAAGTTTCTTGGATATAGTTGGATCCACAGTTTTCCACATAAATTCCTTTTAAGAATTTGCAAATGGCATTACGATTATAAGAGGAGACCGTCCTGTAGGTTTGATTAAGATTCTTGAGGTGACCAGAATTGTTATGCATAAAACGACCGATTGATTTGCAAATCCTATTATTATAAGAGAGTATTGATTTCACATTTAATTTGTGCCACAGTAACGCATACTACAGCCTGGAGGCCTGTAAAGTTTGTAGACATAGTATGATCCACAGTTCCTCACAGAAATTCCCTTTGTATTTTTACAAGATGTGGAGTCACGAGTAAAGCAGACTGTCACGGAAACTTCACCATCTTCTACCGAAGGATGAGCACCATCCAACCAGCCTGAAAAAGCTGTACCACATTTGTTTGGTGCCACTCTGTTTGTGGGCATTTTTGTTCCTGCAGCTCCCACAAAACGATACCATTCCCCAGCGAATTGACTGTCACACAAATATGTATCGTCTGAGTTACTTATCCTTCTACTGGCATCACTCAGATTTATATACTGATAGCAAGGATCGGCTATAAAGTGATATGATAATTACAAAAGGACTTAGGTTACTAGAAATGACAATTGCATTAAGTAGGAGTTCAAGTAACACTTGTGCGGGACATTTTCAGACCATGAGGCTAAAAAATTAATATGGGAAACAAAAGTTATTAACTATGGACAGCAATATCTAAATTTGTGTTTCCCCTCTCATCATTAATGCATTAAAGAACAGAATAAAGGGGTAAGTTTCTAAAGAAACTGTGGTGCTGCGTCGGTGGGAGAGTATAGCAGGTAATTTAGTGTTAACAACTGGGTTGAAAACGTAAATTGGCCACCGTAAAGGGTAAAAAAGCTGACGTTTCGAGCGTTAGCCCTTCGTCAGAGCGATTAGAGGAATTGTGGGTTGTGTGTGGATTTATATGTAGAAAGTGGAGCTACGCCATTGGTGGGAATATGGTGACGAGATAGATTTAATCTATCATTCTTAAAAATTTTAAATTACTCCAAAACGATTCAGAGACTGGCACTATCTTTTCGCAACCCCCACTTATTTCATTCAAACGTGACAAAAACATAGGCAACTTTTTAGTCAGGAGTTCATTTCAAACCAATGACCAATCTGGAACTTTTAAATGCGCTCGCTCACGATGAAAAATTTGTCCTTTCATTCATAACGTAGCGAAAATATCGGGACCCAAAAGATCCATTAAGATCATTGATCACTTTACGTGTAACTCCGCCAATGTTATTTACTGCATAACTTGCACTTATTGCAATAAGTTATACATCGGCGAAACAGGAAGACGACTGGGTTACCGATTCCGAGAACACCTTCGCCATGTGGAAAGAAATGACAAGGACGCATCTAAACCAGTCGCTAGACATTTTAATCTTCCTTATCATTCTAAACAACATATGGCAGTTTGCGGCCTTTCCTTACATCTAGGCAGTTCGGAAAGCCGTAAAACACTAGAACAAAAATTTATATTCCAAATCGGCACCCTTAATCCCCACGGAATCAACGAGCGTTTTTCATTCAACTAATTTATTCCTGTTTTCTCGTCACCATATTCCCACCAATGGCGTAGCTCCACTTTCTACATATAAATCCACACACAACCCACAATTCCTCTAATCGCTCTGACGAAGGGCTAACGCTCGAAACGTCAGCTTTTTTACCCTTTACGGTGGCCAATTTACGTTTTCAACCCAGTTGTTAACACTAAATAACCTGCATTAAAGAACAGCTTTCGGCGAACTAAAGTGCAGCTAACGTAGTTTACATGAAAGCAAGCAGCAATATGGCCGCCGATGGCCGCCTGAGTATGAAACGATTTAGATCGAGTATAACTTATAGCCACCATTACGAATTTAATGGCATGGTAGATAGCAAACGCACCTTTACATCTTAAACCATCCTCGATGTATGTAGGATTACAGGAACAGTTGTATGAGCCCTGAGTATTAGTGCAAAAGGCATTCGGATCGCATTTGTTCATTTTAACGGCATGAGCTTCACTGCATTCGTCAATGTCTAAAAGAGAACATACATATTACTTCAAAATCAAGCTACAAAGAATGTCACCAAAGGATTCAGAAAACTAACCGTCACAAAATTTCGTATTCGTACTCTTTGAACACCGATGTTTATAATAAAGAGAGCAAAATGTTTTCCAAAAAACTCTGACATCAACTACGTGATATAATTAAAATTCAGAAATTAATCCATCTGAATAGCAATGCAATGAAAACAATTTCAGGTTCTAATTATGAAACAAAATTGCCATCGCTAGGAGAAATAAATGTATTTTGTTATTTTACAGAGATTTATTTTGTACTTGTCGATGTCTGAAAATATATAGTGCGTCACAGTGCAAAATAAGATATTCGATGTAAAATTTGTTGTTGCGCAGGAACAATTTTTTCCCAACGGATGCGCGCTATCATTGGTTTATTTGGAGATCTAACAATTTCAAAAATTTTTTACCGCCAAAATTCTGTGACGCTACAGAGTACAGAGTCACCCACGAAATTTGATCACCGTTTTCCGACTGTTTTGAAGGGATATATCACCGCGCTCGCGCGCAAAGTATAGGTACAGAAGATTCAAAAGTGGAAATGTCATTACAAGATAAATAAACCTTGATGTCACAAAATTTAACGTTCGTAGTCTTTCAACACTAATTCTTATTACAGAAAAAAAGAAAGATTTTCTATAAAGAAAAATCGGATATCAACGACATCCTGAAGCGATAAGGAGTCAGCCATCCTGATAGTGAGGTACAAAAAAATAAAAATTATTTTCAATTTGTTATTATGGAGCACGCATATTAATTACAGGTGAAATTAAATTTTTTACTATTTTGTTATACAGCAGTTCGCAATATTTCTGAATATGAGTAGTCAATAAAAATTACGTCAACTATTGCTAACGTTTTGTTTGAAAATATACATGCATTAAATTTCCCCTTCTACATTTTGTGGTTTAACACATTTAAGAGGTTTTATACCTTCTAGCTTTAAGGTTCAAAATAAAACTTGCGATTTTGTTTCACGCCGTCGTATATTATTATTGTAAGGCCCAGCCAAAGGCAGAAAGACACAAAAAGCATGGAAGATATTCGATGAAACACGATTTTAAAGGGGTCCGTAACATGATTTAAGGCGTTGGAAAACAAATCATCCAATACTTAATTACAATAAAGTTTGGATATAACGCGCGCTGTCATTAGCTGAACGAGCGTGCTCTATCAGAGTTCAAGCATAGTCACGCCATCTGCCAAATTGTACTATGTCTGACCTTTCCCGGACTTATATGAAGCTTTTATTCGTTAATTCAAAATGAAATCTCGGAACAAGCGAGCCCGCAAGTAGCAACCGAAGCGCCGTAATTTAAGTTATCATAACGTGAGCAGAGACGAAAGTCTTCAGCACAGACGAAAATCCTCCTCGATTCTGTCTCATGTTTATTTCTACACTTATTTCATGCTCTAGGTGCTTCCTGCGTGCTTTGCAACAGAACAGAGCATATTCAAGGCTTCTCTTTAAATAAAATCTATCAAAATTCACCTGTGCAATTTTGTCCATTTCCGGTATATCCAGGCTTACAATTGCATTCATGTGATCCAATGGTGTTGGTGCAGTTTGCATTCTCGTGACAAGAGTGGTTTCCTTTACACTCGTCAATGTCTATAAAATCAGAGAAAAAAAAAATGTAACGTAAAAATTATGCAAAAATTGCCGTGCACAAGTCATTACCGTGTTAAAGAGTGCAAGCCATGCCTGTTTTCAAAGCGAGATTGTCGTAGATGAAGAAAACAAGTTATCTATGCAAAAAGCTATTACTTAATAACTTTTAGTCGGGTAACTACCTCATCTATTTTGAAGAGTTAAAACGTAGCTTGCCACGTTACCAAAATATACATCAACAAACAACCAACCAAACAAAGGCTTTTGAGACTATTGACGGTACCTGTACAATTCAGCCCATCGCCGATATATCCAGGTTTGCATGTGCACACGTATGATCCGTGTGTGTTATTACACGCAGCCTCATTGTGGCATTTGCCAGAGGTTGCTACGCATTCATCAATATCTGTCGTAAAATTAGAAAGAGACAGAAAAAAAAGGAACAAAATACCAGCTAAAGTTATAAGCATTTGGATTTCCGTCAAAGAGTCATATGAACTAAGCAATTCGCAAAAACCAAAATTTATTTGAAGCTTCTTGGTTCTTTAGTTGTTCTCTGATGGGACCTCTCAATTATAAGCTATTATTTCTGAGCTTTCCCTGAAGTTACAATATTAAGCATACGACAAAACAGCAAATAAGCAGACAAACAAAAACAAAACAAAACGAAAATATACAAATGAGCGAGTGAAGAAAACAATACACACGCTCAATAAACTACAGTAAGAAATTTTCTTTGTAGAGATACAGCACAATATACAATGAGAAAAATTTACGCCACTTTCACCAACTAAAGGACAGTTGTCATACCAGCATTGAAAATCAGAGATAATCTCACATATACGTCATTTCAAGAGTTGACTTAGACTCATACCCGTTTCACAACGTTCTCCCTCGAAACCAGAAGGACATAAGCATTGATATCCCTTGGCTGTGAATCCAGACTGGCAAGTTGCGTTGTTTTCGCAGTGGGAATTCTTATCACAAGCGTTCTGAAGGAGAAAACATAAAATAAAATGAAATAACGAAAGAAAGATAGAGGGATTGAATGAAAGAAGAAACTAAATACTGAATGATCGAATACACGAACATTTGCGTAAACATTTACTATTGTTTTTATATTATTCCAAGTCGACAATTTCGAAACATCAATTTTTAACTCACCTTCGAGCCACGGTAATAAAAATTGGCATCAGATGTCAAGTCACTGTCATTTTTTAGATGTGTGGCGTTATTTAGTTCACAGATGTGAACTGCTTCATTGTTGTCAGGATCTTTTTTGAAGTTAAGACTGACACAATTGTCGTTCAGGTAGCACATTAGTTCACAGTCATCTAAGTTCTTTACTTTTCTTGTTGTGATAGTATAGTCTTCCAAACGTCTTTCAGCGAAGAAGTAGTAATCTGGAAACAGCATTGCGCGCTCCCTCTCTGAAATAGACAAAATTAAGGAAGATATTAGGGACACATTTCCTTTGCCCGAGATTAGAGCTCTGGGAACGGATTCCTCAGCGAGAATCTCGGGATCTAAGCAAACAACGGCGGCAAATACATCTACAGCGTAGTTAAACAAAAATTCTTATTGGAAGTTTATTGGAAGAATACATGATTCTAGAAGTCCCCTGTGACTTTTTTGTCATTATTATTATTATTATTATTATTATTATTATTATTCAGTTATTCAGGTGTCAAAAGAGGAAATTCATTCTAATTTCAATCAAAAGCAACCACGGTTGTCTGGTATCGCTTAACAGATTAATATTCGGGTTGATATGCGTGCACTTCTCGAGCAAACGTGGGTTTCCAATGCCGAAGGTTTTAAAGAATTGCCAACTTTTGCGTTATATAATACTTCTTAATTTTAGTCAATTGCTTTCCTTACATTTCTCTTCTAGTTTATTCCTCTTTCAAGACTGACAAGTCAATTTAAAATCCGCTTACATCGTTTTTCTGCTGTTGAAAAATATTGATCGGAGCATCAGAGGTTTAAGAAGGGAAGAAAGAAAGACATGCAATTTGAGACGATAAATTTAATGCATTGCAGTCGAAGGTAACGTTTCAGTGAGAAAGTTGGAAAAAGAATAAAAATTTGAAATTTGCATAAAACATCTGCTCAACTTGTTTTGACATGGATCTTTTTATTCAAGTTATTTGTTTCTTGGTAATTTTAAAAGACTCTATCTCAAAACTTTTCCTTAAGGGGTTTTCCTTCTATCTTAAAAAATAGCTCACTTCAAAACTTGTGAAAGACAAGCTATCTTATTTTTGCGTACAAATATTTAACACGGAAAATGCAATGTATTCCATATGACGGCATTGTTTTTCTATAAAATAATTTCTCTATGCTGGCTAACAGCGGCTACAATTCCCTCCTTAAGATGCAAATTATTGAATTTCCGTCCGCCAAAACACAAAAAATTTTTTGATAGCAGCGTCTTCCAGTCGAGTTATCGCGTGAGTCAAAGACTTCCCCATAAAAGCTGTTGATTCATTTTGTAAACATACGCTTTTGCGAATTTCCTATGTTAAATACCATTTTACGTCTGGAAAAACGAGTTTACAAGTATTTCCTTCCTTTGCTAATTATTTTCGTTGAGTTCAGGTTTTTAGTTTAGTCGTAACTCTTACGTTTCTCACTAAGTTCTCAGGTACGTGTAAGTTTATAAGCTCTGAGCATGACCTGTCTCAATTTACATCGACGGAATACTAAGATAATAACAGTCTTAAGGGATAAAATTGTAGGACTGTAATACAAGTATAGGATAGAAAATGATTCGCATTTTGCAACTCACCTTTACCAAACGTCAGGTAAGTCATCGATGTAAAGTAGACTACGAATATAAAAAATGCAGAAAATTCCATGCTTCCTTAAGACTACGGACCTCAATATTGATGATTCCAGTGTGCCACTAACTTTGAGTCGACCACCTGCATTGAGTTATGGATTAAGTAGTGGAAATCGACCTGCTTGAATTGAAAATGGGATGCTAACAAGTTTAACAGCTGTCAGTCCTGACGCAATGAAGTTATAAATTTCTGCCAATGACACGCACACGTTTCCTAGTCTGCGAATGAACACGGTTTCGATCTCGACGTCTTCCGCTTTGCTAAATAAAAAATGCACTTTGGAGGCTACAACTCGGTGTCAACCATCGAATAAGGCGCAGAAATTTTTTTTCTCACAATTTACAAGAAGATTTACTTCAATTCCTTCATAACAATAACAAATGAAGTGCGTTTTAGTCAATAAGCATTGTAGATGCATTCTTAACAGTAGGTGAATATAAAGGTGAAAATAGTCACGTAAACATACGAGTTCCTTTACGTTTCTCGGAGATAAAACACCTCCAAATTTTCAAGATAGATCTATGAACTCGGCGCATTTTTCTTTTAAACTTATTCAGAGTTCAGATCACACCTTGAAAAAGTGATTGAGCTATGAAAAAATTAACGTTTTCTATAATGACACAAGCATGATAATAGAGTCCCATCATCTGAAAAGTTTGGCCCCGCTCATGCAATCCTATGAAAATCATAATGTGTGTAGGGCCAGACGGGTTGGCTTTGAGCGATCCACGAAAGAAAGCCGTCCGCCTCGCATTCGCATAACTCTGTTGGATTTTCCGAAAACGTAAATTCTTATTTTGGACTTGAAATAAGCAAGAAATTGTATAATAAGTCAAGGATTTTGTATTTCGAATTGCGAGTTTCTTTCACTAACTCGAAGAACTGAAGAAAATATTTTTCACAGTACAATCATTTTTTCACCACCTTTTGATGAAGTTCGTGATACCGAGCCGAGAATATTTTCCCGTCCGGACTTCTCACATAGTCAACATATCAAACTTTGCCTATTGTTATGGTTGGGATTTTTTAATACAATGGGCCTTTTGTTATCCATCCTTAGGGACTTTTCTATTTAGTATCACGAGCTTTTACTCGGCTTGATTCGGATTCATTCGGCAAATTGTCGGCGATGACATTTTTCCCCAGCGGTAGTCTACTTGGGAAAATTTGAACAGACTAACAGGGGGTTAGTCAGTAATTGTCCAGGGTAAAGATTGTCATACAGTGTTTGAAACGAGCGGACCGTTAATGTATTTTCTCTTGAAGTAACTTCCTCTGACTTCTTCAGAGGCAAGATAAGCCGTCAGTATAAAATAAATTGGAATTCAGCCGCTTGTGACATAATAGTTTGTTTTCAGTTCATGTTTTCACGGCAAGGGGCCGCGAGTAGCTTATAGTGATTGAAAATGCGGTCTAGAGCTTATAAGCCAGGACAGGACGCAGTTAAGCTGTGTTCGCTCAATATTTGTTTTCCTTAAGGCCCGTTTACGCAGGCAGGCCTTAAGGACTGATCGCAGAAGTCTAAATTGTATTCTGCTGAAAATTTCTTCTCGCGTTGTCAATGTTCAACCACTGGCGCGATGAGTATAAAAGAGTATGCAAGCCAAGAAAACAAAAAGGTGTTATTTTCGCACCTTTTTACGTTTGACTGATTTCACTTTTTCCGCTTGAAGTGCGCAGAAACAGCAAACGCAGACAGAAAGGCAAGGTAAAAGGATTTGAGCGGCAGATTGGCTGATGCAGTATGGAAGATGAGATAGGAATATAAACAGTAGCGTCAGGGGTGAGCAGTTTATGGCGATTAGCGGTTTAAATTTATAGAGTTTCATTTTCGCTTGGTCAATGATGGGTGTTGCGTAGTTGGCCGGCAGCACACTCTGGCACATTTTTTTGTTGGGACTTCTGTTTGGAAGGCTCCATACAGCAAGCCAAAAGAAAAAGCGAACAAAATACCAACCGACATTATTGCGTTGTCAATGAGGAACTCACTATCGACTTCAATGCCACAAATTCTGGTTATATTAAAAAAAATATCGATGTCGAGAGTGTGTAGAAAGGCGGGTTGGTTTTGGTTTTCTTAGACTATTGTCAGGCTCGCGTTTTTGTTTTTTGGTCTATTGAAGCAAATAAACCTCGCTGTTGAAGGGAAAACAATAGGTGCGATTTTCGCACCTTTTTCCGTTTCAGTGACTTTATTCTCCGGTTGGCCACAAGTTCTTAAACAAAAAATGTTCATCACTGCATTAGGTGAGTGAGAAAAAAAATGGTGACTTGTTTGGACTTGCTTGTTTAAACCGTCGTTTTTTGTTCCTTTTTTTTTTTTCGAAACGACTCCCTTCCTTACGCGCGCTCACGTTTCTCGTAGATTTCCTTTTTTTTTTATCCGCTCACGCGACGCCGTTCAAAAATAAACGGGGGCGGGCCATTCATTTGAGGGTATTGTTCTGCAGTTCAAAAGGTCATAAATTTTATCAGTGGTACTTGCATATAAAGGCCTCGTAAACGCAAGTCATAATCACTTTAGATTATCCCTTACTGAGAGAATAGCTAAGAACATGAGCAAGTTTTACGAAGTCTCGAAAGTGCTCGATAAGCGTACAGACGGCGCACAGACGGCGTACAGACAGCGCCCACGGTCGCGTTCAGTACCTCGTCCGCTGGCGTGGCTATGGAAAGAAGAACGATAGCTGGGTGGATGAAGCAGACACAAACGAGCGCCTTAAACAAGTGTTTAGGACACGCCACCAAGGAACTCCGGGCTTGCTGCAGACCTTAGCTGTGTTAGTGGCAGAAAAGCTGAACATGAAGAAACCGCCAACAACCAGCATCGTGGGACGTTCGTCTGTCACCATGCCGATGGATGCCGAGACCTTTAAAGAGTTGTTCGGTGGTCTTCCTTCCGCGCCAAATCTTTTGCAAGCGACAAAGTTTCTGTGCCCATTCACGAGCTTGACGCCATAATGCCTGCCGGATGGTCACTAAATACTTTCGAAACCTCCACGACTTGTCGGTTGCAGCCCGGCAAGCCCGTCGAGATTGCTCTCGTAGAGCGCAAGAAAGTGTTTTTTGATCATTCGGGGTGTTTGCGCTGTCAAGGCGGGAATGGAGCCCCCGTCGCTTGTAAAGACGTGGTGCGGAAAGTAGTATTCGGTTCAACCCTTCTAAAGATCTCGTTCTACCGTGAGCGGAACAAGCAAGCCGAGCGAAAGCCCAAGGAGCGCACGAGACTAACCTGGGCGAAACCAAGATCAGTCGCCAAGTAGAAAACATTGACTTACCGCTGGGTAGTCACTTCAACAAACGGCTCCTTTAGGAGCCACCAAATATAAGAAAGCAATGACCAACTCGAATGTGTGGTACTCTTTTATTTCCCTTATCTAGCCCTTTTTTGCATTCATTGTTTGCCTAAAAAAGATCTGTATTCAATGATATGTACCTGATAATTTAAAGATGAGTTAATATTCATGTTTGAAGCCGTCGATATTTAGTCGTTCTATCAGCCCTCGCATTCATCAATGTCACAATGAATTCATGAGTAGCTCGAAAACGCTGTTTTGCTTAAACAAACAT